TGGTGGCTCACACCTGGAGTTCCAGATCAGGTGGGGTGACAGAGAAAGACCTTGTCTTTACAAAAAAAAAAAACAAAAAACTAGGTATGGTGGCATGCATGTGTAGTTCCATCTACCTGGGGGACTGAGGCAAAAGGCTCACTTGAGCCTAGGAGTTTGAGGCTGCAGTGAGCTACAATCATGCCAGTGCACTCTAGCCTGTGCGAAAGACAGAGACCCTGTCTTGAAAAACAAACAAACAAAAAAACCAAAAGAACAAAAACTTCTATAATAATAATATTGTAATGTATATCAAAAATTTGTTATAGACTTTAGGTGTTCTTACCATACACACAGATACAAGGTAGCTATGTAGGGTGATGGATATCATGTTGTACATTTTAAATACATAATAAAATATAAATAAATTTTTTAAAATAGCAAGCCAAGCTTGAGGTTTCAGGCCTGCAAGGCATTTCATTTTATTTTTTTTAAGCGTATAAAATCCATCATTTAAAGGATAACCTGAGTAAACAAGGCTATATTTATAAAGCAGAACTCTGGAGAACAGAATTATACAATAGAATGATTTTCACTTTTTCTGAAGTTAGAAAGTCCTTCTAAATGTTTAAAAATAATCAGGAACCTCAGCTCTGCACGCATTACAGGCAAATTACTTTATTATCTACAGCTGCTACAGAAATGCATCAATGCTTACTTGGGTTCCACAGGATTTTTAAAGTTTAGTTAACCAAGAATATGGTTAATACTGGTACTATATGATTTGCTGTTCTTATTTTCTCCTATGTATCATATAGATGACTATCTCTTTCATTCCTATTTCAACAGATCATTATGTAAATTAATTTATCCCATCTCCAATTTTTATTTTTTCCGTAATACAATCAAACAAAATCAGAACAGAATTTTAAAAAACACATTTTTAAATTGATAAGGAGATTGACAGAATGCTCATGATTGTGTGAATAATCTGTATAACATACACATATAAGAATACTCATGATGGGTTGAAAAATACAATTCTCTATTCCCTCTATCCCTTTTCTATCTGACTTTCAGAAAAATGTAGGTAACAGAGAACAGAAGGTATATAGTATACAGATGTTTTCCATTAAGACTACTGAAAAAAATAAGACTCTGGATGGAGACTGTATCACTGATAATTGTGAAAGGAAAACAAATCCTAAGAATTAAGTGCAATTCATGATTAAGAACAGTTATAGAACTCTGATGTCATTTAATATTTGAAGTTATTTTACAATGTTTATCCAGAATCGCATCTCCTTATTTTAAAATTGTATAGAAAATTTCTGGACTTCCATTTTTTAGAATAGGTGACAGAAAACTTGATTTGAAGGTAACAATACAAGCATACCTTTTTTTACTGAGCTTTGCTTTACCGTGCTTCATAAATACTATGAATTTTACAAATTTAACTTTTGTGACAACACCATGTTGAGAAAATCGGCAGCATTTTTCCAACAGCACACGCTCACACTTTGTGTCTCTGTCACATTTTGGTAGTTCTTAACAATAATCTGTTATGGTGATCTGCAGTCTTTGATGTTAATATTGTGACTGTTTTGGGACCCACAAACCATGCCCATGTAAGAGCAAACATAATTGATAAATAGTATATCCTGATTGCTTGAATTTAGCTCTTCTTTCTTCCTCTCCTCAGGCCTCCTTAGTCTCAGACATAACAATATTGAAACTAGGCCAATTAATAACCCTGTGATAGTTGCTAAGTGTTCAAGTGAAAGGAAGAGTTGTATGACTCTCACTAATCAAAACTTAAGAAATTAGTAAGCTTACTAAGGAAAGCATGTGTCAAGCTGAGACAGACTAAAAGCTAGACTTCTTGCACCAGTTAGCCAAGTTGCAAATGTAAAGGAAAAATTCTTGAAGGAAATACAAAGTGTTACTCCAGTGAACACATGAATGATGAGAATGCCAAGTAGCCTTATTGCTGACAGGAAGAAAGCTGCACGGTCTTGATAGAGGATAAAACCAGTTACGACATTCCCTTAACCCAAGATCTAATTCAGAGACAGGTCCTAAAACTCTTTAATTTGGTAAAGGCTACAAGAGGTGAGGAAGGTGCAAAAGAAAGTTTTAAGGTGGCAGAGGTTGGTCCATGAGATTTATGGAAAAAAACCATCCATTCTGCAGTCTCCACAATATAAAAGTACAAGGTAAGGCACCAAGTGCTGATGTAGAAGCTGCAGTAAGTTAATTGTAAGATCTAGCTAAGATCATTGATGAAGGTGGCACGCTAAACAACATGTTTTCAGTGTAGATTGCTCAGACTTCTACTGGAAGATGATACCATCTAGAAATTTCAGAGAAGACAATGCATGGCTTCAAATCCTCAAAGGACAGACTCACTCTTATTAGGGACTAATGCACCTGGTGACCTGAAGTTGAAGCCAATGCTCATTGACCATTCCAAATATCCTAGGGCCCTTAAGAATCATGCTAAATCTACTCTGCTTTTGTGTTCTATAAGTGAAAACAAAGCCTGGATGATAGCACGTCTACTTACAGTATATTTTGGTAAATACTTTAAGCCCACTTTTGAGACCCACTGCTCAGAAAATAAAGGATTTTAAAATATTACTGCTCACTGACAAATATAACTGGTCACCCAAGAGTTCTCAAAGAAATATATATAGAGATTAAGGTTATTTTCATGCCCACTAACACAACATTTATTCTGCAGCCCATGAATCAAGAAGTTATTCTGATTCTCATGTCTTTATTTTTTTCTTTTGGTAGCAACAGGGTCTTACCCTGTGGTCCGGGGTGGTCTTGAACTCCAAGCCTCAAGTGATCCTCCCACCCCTGAAGGCCCTGGATCAGGTTTTACATAATCTGGGAGTTAAGTCTGTTCAAGCATCTTACATTATACACTCGGCTTCTCAGTGTTGGTATTATAGGTGCATGTCCTCAAATCTTACTAAAAAAATACATTACGTGGCTGGGTGCAATGGCTCATGCTATAATCTCAGCACTTTGGGAGGCTGAGGCAGGTGGATCACTTGAGGTCGGCAGTTCATGACCAGTCTGGAAAACAGAGACTCGTCTCTACAAAAAATAGAAAATTTAGCTGGGCGTAGTGACACATGCCTGTAGTCTCAGCTACTGGGAGGCTGAGGCAGGAGAATTGGTTGAACCTGGGAGCTAGAGCTTGCAGTGAGCTGAGGTCATGCCACTGTACTCCAGCCTAAGCGACAGAGACTGCATCTCAAAAAAAGAAAAAAAGAAAAAGAAAAAAACCCAGAAAACATAAGGCTACTTTAATAGCCACCATACATCGTGATTCCTCTGATGGATCTGGGCAAAGTAAAGTAAAAAACTTTTAGAAAGGATTCATTATTCTAGTTGCCTTTAAGAACCTTAGTGATTCATGGGAGAAGGTAAAAATATCAACATTAACAGGAGTTAGGAATAAGTTGATTCCAACCTTTAGGGATGACCTGGAGTAATTCAAGACTTCAGTGGAGAAGGAACTACAGATGTGGTAGAAACAACAAGAGAACTGGAATTAGAAGTAGAGCCTGAAGATTTGACTGAATTGCTGCAATCTTATGATCAAACTTGAATGGATGAACAGTTGCTTCTTATGGATGAGCACAGAAAAGTGGTTTCTTGAGATAGAAATTACTCCTGGTGAAGATGCTGTGATCATTGTTGAGATGACAACAAATAATTTAGAATATTCCATAAACTTAGGTGATATAGCAGCTACAGGCTTTGAGAGGACTGACTCCAATTCTGAAAGAAGATCTATTGTAGGTAAAATGCTATCAAATTATCATTGCATGCTATGGAGAAATCTTTCATTAGAAAAGAATCAATCAATGCAAACTTCATTGTCATCTTATTTTAAGATATTGCCACAACTATCCCAACCTTCAGCAACCGCAACCCCAGTGGCCATCAACTTCTCCACCAGCAAAAAGATTATGACTCTTGTAGGCTCAGATGATTAACATTTTTAGCAATAAAGTATTCTTTAATTAAGGTATATACATTGTATTTAAAACATAATACTACTGCACAATTAGATTACAGTATTTATAGTCAAAACTCTGATATGCACTGGAAAACTTTTAAAGAAGTGTATGGCTTGGCTCATTGATAGTTGCTTTATTGCAATAGTCTGAAACTGACCCTACAATTTATACTATACTTCGGAGTATAAATCTCTGTTCAATCTTTAATAAAATGAATGTAAAGCAAGAATTTTTAAGAATGTAACTAAATGTCTTTTATACCTTTGCTACTCAAAGCACAGCCCACAAACCAAGTAGCATCAGCATCACCTGCAACCTTGTTAGAAATTCACAATTCCCACCACAGCTCTTCTGATCAGAATCCTCAAGTGATGTGGATGTGGTAGTCACATGTTAAGTAGCAAGATTCTAGACCAATGGCAAATGGTTCACCAAATCACAGAGCTATTTTTCTGTTGCAAAAATATCCAGCAAGACAGATTGCCATGTAGCGCTGACAAGAGGAACACAGGCTCAGGTTATGTCTGAGATCATATAAACCCGGGCTATTCCTCTTTCTGTGTGACGTTAGGCGTGTTATATAATCACATGCCTTAGTTTCATCATTTGTAGAATGGGGGTAAATAGGTGTATCTCATAAGAATGAAACAAAAGTTTAAACATTATATGGGAAATGCTTACAATTAGTACCTGGCACACCATAGGTAATCAGAAAATGTTTACTATCATTCTTATTTTTGGTATTAAGTTCAGTTGCTATGAAGACATGAATAGTTGGAAAGAACAAAAAAGAAATTCATGATAAGACTAAAACTAAATTATGTCAGGTAAAAATATTTTTTAAACCAAAATATTTTGATAAATATTAGAAATAGGTAAAAAGCATTTATACACAAACAGAATAAATTTTAAGCATTCCAATGGCTCCACTGTTTTACTGTGCATTTTTACAGTATATTAAACAGCATACTTTTATCTTACCAGTCGTTTGCTATAAAGTAATGCTGTACTACTGCCACTGGAAACTGCCCATTTAGAAAAATGCATGACATGCTCCAACTGTTTAGAAAGTCCAGCCACTTCCTGTTGTTGTTGCATAAGTTTCATGCGATGGTCCTTTGCAAGGCTCTGAAAACAATAATTTCGAAATTAGTATCAGCATATAACATACACTTTAATGGTCATTTCCAGGTAAACAAATTAGAATAACTACAATCTCTAAGTACTCGATTTACTGCAACTAAAAATATTCTTAGTGTTTTCCTTGTTACAAAGGATCGCTTTCACTACAGCAAAAGCTGCATTGCAAATGTGACCCCTCACCCCTGAAGTCCCTGGATCAGGTTTTACATATTCTGGGAGTTAAGTCTCTTCAAGCATCTTACAATTCACAAAAAAGATGGATTAGCTGTAATACAGTGAACGCCCATGAAATTCAGCACTCACAAATAAGAAAAATGTATTGTCCAGCAAACTAGTAAAGTAACTGGATCACATAATTTACTCAATCATATAATTTCACATTGTAGAGATATTACTTAATAGTTGCAATTGCAAGTAGTTTGTGCAAAACACAGTCATGGTGTGTTGTAGGTGACACTTATTCTCTGTATGTGGTAATTTTTTTAAAAAGCGTATTATTTCTGTCTATTGGAATTAACATGGGTGCCAACAGATAAACTGAATGACTGTGCCAATGCACTCTAAGAAAAGCTACATTAAAGAATATAAGCCGGGCGCGGTGGCTCAAGCCTGTAATCCCAGCACTTTGGGAGGCCGAGGCGGGTGGATCACGAGGTCAAGAGATCGAGACCGTCCTAGTCAACATGGTGAAACCCCGTCTCTACTAAAAATACAAAAAGTTAGCTGGGCATGGTGGTGCGTGCCTGTAATCCCAGCTACTCAGGAAGCTGAGACAGGAGAACTGCCTGAACCCAGGAGGCGGAGGTTGCGGTGAGCCGAGATCGCGCCATAGCACTCCAGCCTGGGTAACAAGAGCGAAACTCCGTCTCAAAAAAAAAAAAAGAATATAGATTTTGCTAAGGAGAGTATGTATGTACTTTCCTTAGAGAAGACAGGATAATCAAAAGTAGAGCACACCGAACTTGGGTTATTTTAAAGGTTCCTATCCAAAAGCCTCATCCTAGACCTAGCAAGGAGAAGGGAGGGGCACGGGACTTTCTATTATCTCAGACAAATTAGAGAAGTTTTAAAGCAAAATTGCTATACTACTACATGGACTTACATATTCTCAATAAAAAGTGGACCCAGATTCTGGCCCTAGCCAGTTCCAGATTTGGAAAATACCCATGAACTACGCTGAATTAAGAGGGAAATCACAGTTGCTATTTGAGGTACTGACAATAGCCAATGGCTCTGCCATATCTAATTTAAGTTAGAGACAGTAATTTGCCTATTAGGCTATTTTTGACTTCTGTAAAAATTTAATAAGTGTTTCTCTGGAAACATTCTAGTAGGAATGGAAATTCCATTTACTTTCGAGAACTTTGAGAATTAAGAATTAGAAGCCCTGGTTTTTTGGTCTTCTACGCTAATTTCTATTTCTTACAAGTCCTAACAGATAAAAGGGATTATGTTTATTTGCCTTTAAAAGGGACTCCGACCAGCCTGGGCAACACAGCAAGACCACATATCTCTTAAAAAAAAAAAAAATAGCCAGGAGCAGCAGCAAGTGCCTTGTAGTCCCAGCCTCTCAGGAGGCTCTGTCATGAGGATTGCTTGTAGTCCCAGCTTCCTGGGAGTTTGAGGCTGCAGTGGGCCAAGGCCATGCCACTGCACTTGAGCCTGGATGACAGACTGAGACCTCGTCTCTAAAAAGTAAAATAAGAAAATTCACTAGAGTGAGACTTCATCTCTATATAAATAAAAAGTTAGTTAGGTATGGTTGCATAGCTACTCAGGAGGCTGAGGTGGGAAGATTGCTTGAACCTGGGAGGTAAAGGCTGTAGTGAATACACCACTGCTGCATTCAAGCTTGCACAACAAAGACAGACACTGTATCAAAAAAATAAAAAAATTAAAAGGTGAAGTGGGGTAGCTTACACCTGTCATCTCAGTACTTTGGGAGGCAGAGGCGGGCAGACTGCCTGAGCCCAGGAGTTCAAGGCTAGCTTGAGCCAACGTGTCAAAACCCCATGTCTTAGAAGGGATAGAACTTTCTGACAGAAACCTTAAAATTTGGTCAACTATGACATAAAGAGGATAACCTATATTATTCCTAGAAGTCTTATGTTTCCCCAAATCTTCAGTCATTAGGATTCTTTTTTAAAAAATGCTTTACTGTATCAATATTCTTTCTATGTCAACATACTAAAGGAATACCTAAAGATCACACAATTAATATGACACATTAATGTACCATGTAGGTTATAGAAGCTCATGTTATTTAAAGTCAAACACCAACTTTGGATCTTGACCTTCTTAAGTTTTAAAAAGCTGAGGAAGATAGTAATTTTTTTTACCTGCAGTGAGAAACATCTAAGTGCCTTGAGCATGTCTCTCTAAATGCTGCTTTCGCAATTAGAATTATAAAATGTTGACTGCAGGGCTAGCCATATTCTTTTACCTAACTTCTCACAGGGTTAAATATATATATTTGAGAGCTAAATCGAACAGTGTTATCTTTCTAGAAAATTTTGTTCCACTAAACCGCTTTGGTGATGCAAACATCTATTTAATATTCAGAGATCCTCCTATAAGCAAGGCATTACAATTTGTGCTATCAGTTGTCAGACATTTATAGCATATTACTAAGCTATAAACTGTCCGCTACGATATAAAACCCAGCAAAGAAAAATTTGGGAGTGGACAAAAAAATTATTAAATCACAAATGAAACAATTATATGAAAAGCACTATGATTTCTAATTCACAGTATGTTAGGAAATACTATTTTTTTGTTTGTGCTTTTTTTGGGGGGGGGGGCACAATTTGACCTTTCAATGTTATCCAAGGAAATACTATGTTGAATCAATATAAGATACTATCCCATGGGCAATCACTTACCTCTAACTGATGCAGTAGAGCTTTTCCTTTTTTATTTATTTCTACCATCAATGTAAATATAGCAACTTTAATATCCTGTTCCACCTGTTTTTGATTTTGATTTACTTCAAAAATTCTGAAAATTAAAGGGGAAAAACGTAAGGCAGATTTTTTGTATATTATTTAAAATTGATGTTTTAATGTCTAAATTAGATCAAAATGTTTTCAGCCCTTAGAAGCTCTATTTCTGAGTCCTTCAGTTTAAACTGTTTTGAAGATGAGACAGCAGAAATATACTTCTTCTAAAAGATATCACCACTCAATCTTTTTTTTCTTTTTTTTTTTTGAGACAGAGTTTTTGCTCTTGTTACCCAGGCTGGAGTGCAATGGCGCGATCTCGGCTCACCGCAACCTCCGCCTCCTGGGTTCAGGCAATTCTTCTGCCTCAGCCTCCTGAGTAGCTGGGATTACAGGCACGTGCCACCATGCCCAGCTAATTTTTTGTATTTTTAGTAGAGACGGGGTTTCACCATGTTGGCCAGGATGGTCTCGATCTCTTGACCTCGTGATCCACCCGCCTCGGCCTCCCAAAGTGCTGGGATTACAGGCTTGAGCCACCGCGCCCAGCTGGATATCACCACTCAATCTTAAAATTAAATCTTGAACCTTAAATGTTAAAAAAAAATATGCAGTTAGAAGATAATGAGTACATTTTAAGAAAGTATGGTTTGGAAAAATTATGGTGATACCCGGGAAAATCAATGCTCTACCTAAAAGGATGGGGGGGGGGCGGTGGAGGTGGAGGTGGACTAAAAAGGATTTATAAACCATGTTTCTAAACAAGTTCTACTATATTAATTGCAACCAAAAGCTAGAAAAGTGTATATGTGATACTCTTTTCTTAGTAATTTTAACTGCTGCAGTATTCATATACCTAAATAGAAAAAGACAAAAATAGTAGTTTGCTACTTAAACCTATTCTTCACAAGATTAGCAGCCAAATAACTATGTTTCATCAACCACATACTTTTCTTACAGAAAGAAAAACATATGGTCTACACCAGAATATCTTATAGAAAATAACAGAGCATCCACCAAACTTTGTGAAATTAAATTAAAAGCTTCATTTCTTTTGTAAGCTTCTCCCATAGTTACCCTCCAAAACTGAAGACGAAAATGGCAGAGACTTTATTTCTTGCTGGAAAAGACAATTGTTTGATATCAATGTTACTACAGGATCCAGGGAACCAGATAAACCCGAGAAGAAACCAATTTCAAAAAACTCATTTAAATATTCATGATGGTAGAATAGGATGAATAAGGGAAAAACAGTGCCGTGGAGGCAAATGCATAAAATATAACCCTTTTATAATCAGATAGACTATATAGATATGTAAGCAATTTGCACTTAACAAAGATTCTTTGATTTTTGCCTCAATTCAGAAATCAAAATTGTTCTATACAATGTTATTATTTTGTAGAAGAAAAGCACAAATCACTTTACAAAAATAAAAGATAAAAGAACATTATCTGATTTTAAGAGTTACTATAAAAAGCTACAATGATCAAGATCATGAAAGTGGAGTACTGGCAAAGAGAAAAACATAATGGAGCAGATTAATAATCCCACACATATATGGTCTATAAAGGTGTTGAAAAACAATTCAACAGAAAAATAAAATAGCTTTTCCAAAAAATGATAGTGGAAGAAATGGACATCCATATGTTAAAAAAAAAAAAGCAAACTCTGACCATAACTCAAACCATATACTCAGTGAAAGACTAAGAAAAAAGTCAAAGGGATAAATTTCATTAAGGGCAGATCTTTAATTTAGAATTAATTATTATACAATTGCTACCTTTTGCCACTAAATGATAGAAATGCCTATATTTATTTATCTCTCTTCATTCATTTGATAAATATTCATTACAAATTTTCAATTACTCAGAGTCAAAAAATGTTAAACCAACAAATTATTCTACTTGGGAAAATATACTATTCTAATTGGAATATGGTAAATAAAGGAAATAGTATTTCATTAACTACAGTTCTGTCAAAGAGAAAAGTAAAAACAGGGCCTGGCATAGTGGCTCACGTCTGTAATCCCAGGGCTCTGGGAGGCCGAGGTGGCGTATCACCTGAGGTCAGTAGTTAGAGACCAGCCTAGCCAACATGGTGAAACCCCATTTCTACTAAAAATACAAAAAATAGCTGGGCATGGTGGTGGGCACTTGTAATCCCAGCTACCCAGGAGGCTAAGGCAGGTTAATTGCTTGAACCCAGGAGGCAGAGGTTGTAGTGAGCCAACATTGCATCACTGCACTCACTCCAGGCTGGGTGACAGAGCGAGACTCTTGTCTCTGGGGGGAGAAAAAAAAAAAAAAAAAAAAAAGCAGGTTGGGGGGAGGAGGGGATGCATAAAAACAAATGAGAGCTGATAAGGAAGAATGAGAAAAACTAAAAGACACATTACACAATAATAAATAGATAATAATAATGATGCTGGGGCATCAAGAAATGGTAAAAACTATGTTTAAAAGCCGGGCGCAGTGGCTCATGCCTGTTATCACAGCACTTTGGGAGGCTGAGGTAGATGGATCACCTGAGGTCAGGAGTTGAAGACCAGCCTGACCAACATGGAGAAACCCCATCTCTACTAAATACACAAAATTAGCTGAGGTCTGGTGGCACATGCCTGTAATCCCAGGTACTAGGGAGGCTGAGGCAGGAGAATTGCCTGAACCTGGGAGGTGGAGGTTGCGGTGAGCCAAGATCATGCCATTGCACTCTAGCCTGAGCAACGAGAGCGAAACTCCATCTCAAATAATAATAATAATAATAATAATAATGTTTAAAAATCTCTTTTAAGGAAATCAAGCAATACAGGGAATTAATTCCCTTTAAAAAATTCCCAAATGTTCCACCCCCAGCTATGTTCCAAAATGACAGTAACAGATTATGATGATTTCCTTAAAGGCTGACACAATTTATACAAGGAACATTTAAATTCTCTGTGAAGTCTTTTGCTCTGGCACATTCTAATAAACATTCCTTGACTTATTTAGGCAGTGACATTACTTTTGTGTGTAAAACAGTAAGTCATGGGATTTCATAGGTGTGTAAATTAAGTATCAGTATGTGCCCTAAATGGCATTTAGACAACATCTACACCTGCCCCTACTCCAAGGAGGTTAGTGGTTTTCTCCCCAATAATTGATGTCTAAGATATGAAACTTGGGACAGGTGATGATTTACTTACCAGGATAAAAGGCCTAACAAGTAATTGCTTAAGCATTTTATCAGACAAGGAGTAAAAGGTGTGTGAATAGTTTAACTATCCCTGTCTCCTGGTGTCTTAAAATTTCTACCACTTTGCAGTTAAAAAAAAAAAAAAAAAATCACAGCATAAGGCAGGCATCTCAAATTTTAGCAAACTTGAAAATAACAATTAAGGATTCATTCACGTGTTAGAACATTTACATTACTGGCAAAAAATGGTTGATTTTGCATTTAAATCTTGGGATTTCTTTAACATTGGAAAATAAGTGATAAGTTATCAATACCTACTAAATAAATGAGCTATTATAATCCTAAGTGTAGTTTATTATCATATTCATTTTGAAATTTTATAGCAGAAAAGAATGCTTTCCAACCAAGTTTCTGGGAAAGTCTTAGGAACGTGTTATTGCAGTCATCTGAAAATTTACTGCTTAACTGTGAGTTAAGGAAAATGGTCTGTTCTAAAAGCAAATAACAAGTTATATTAAAATGATTACATAATACGATAAAATTACCTGTTTTGGATCTGATTTCCTGTGAATTTTATGTATTTTGTTTTTTCCATCAGTTTGGTGATTAGTGTATCTATGATCACTTTCTGATTCTGAAAAGCTTCTTCTATAAATTGATATCTGAAGAAATAAGTAAGCAAATTATTTCATACAAAAATATAAAATGAGAAAAAGTCCAAGAATAAAGAAATGACTGATAAAAATATAACAGGATTAAAAAGAATTCATGTAATAATCTTTAAAAACACCAAATGTATCCCTAATAAGGCAAGTTTTCCCTACGTCTTAAATTATCCCTTAAGAAAGATTATGAACACGTAAATATTTTGAAAGTTTGAGAACCACATGCATCCAACATTCAGTTTTATAAGCTTACCAAGTTTACTTTCACTTGGTGGAATTGGCAAAAAAAAGTTAATGATATATAATCAGATTTATTAACTATTTACAATTTATTAATTATGTAAGCCTGCTGTAAATAAACATTTTAAAAGATCACTTTTAAGTAATAGTTATGTTCTAGGGGACACAAAGATAAATCAGGATAAATACAGGGAGTGAAGGGCAAAATTCCTGATGTTATGCCTTGAGATAAAACGTTAAGCAATAGTATAGTAAGATATAGCACTTTAAAAAGTTTATAATTTCAAAGTGAGGAAAGATGATTTACTTTGCCAGACTATGTTTGATGACTGAAGAGAAGTTCTAGAGAAGACAGACAGGCAATGATACAGAAGATACATATAAAGAGTTTTACTTAAATTTTTCTATAAAATACACAAAATACAGTATTTCTAAATTAACATATTTTACAAGTGATTTTAAATGTTTACATCTAATTAAATAAAGGTGCCAGAATTAGAAAAAGGGGATACTCAGTTAATAATTATATTGGCATTTCCTTTGTATATAATCACATCTGTGAATAACAACATTTCAACTACTTTTATAGGCAACTCAAGTTTTTTTATCTTAGTAAACTTTTTCTTTACTACACTTATTTGATATAAGGTTACATGAAATAGTCACCCTTATGTTGTTACCAATCTCAATGCAAAGACTTTCAATATTCTAACATTAAGTATGTGTTTCTACTTTCCACAAATAATCTTTATCAGGTTTAGGAAATTCCCTTTTATTCCTAGTTTGCTAAGACGTTATACCATGAACGTATATTTCATTTTTATGGAATGTTTCTACTGTTTCTATTGAGATAATCATATACTTTTTCCTTTATTCTTTTAACATGACATGAAAGATTTTGGCATCAATAATTTTGACATGTCAAATGAATTTTGTATCCCTAAAATGAAGCCAAATTGGTTTGATTACAACTGTCCCAAAATGACAGTACTACGAGATTTAAGGCAAGTCTTCTCTTCCTCTCAAATCATCTGTTTTCTTATTTTCTGCTTCTTGGAATTTTTACATTCATTTCATGGATGAGACTGGTCTGTAATTTTCCACTTCTATTCATTGTCAGTTTTTGGTGTAAAGGTTATGCTGGGTTCATATAACAAGTTGGAATGAATTCAGTTTTTTGCCATTCTCTGGACAAGTCTGTATAAGAAAGGGACTACAGTTACCTTAACTATGTGGTACATTCACCAGTGTCGTTTGTATGTGTAATTCCATCTCCCCACCCCCCCTTTTATTTTTTTTGAGATGGAGTTTCACTCTTGTTGCCCAGGCTGGAGTGCAATGGTGCAATCTCAGCTTACCGAAACCTTCACCTCCCAAGTTCAAGTGATTCTCCTGCCTCAGCTTCCAGAGTAGCTGGGATTACAGGCATGTGCCAGCAGCCCAGCTAATTTTGTATGGTTAGTACAGACAGGGTTTCTCCTTGTTGTTCAGGCTGGTCTCAAACTCCCAACCTCAGGTGATCGTCCGCCTCAGCCTCCCAATGTGCTGGGATTACAGCCACTGCACCTGGGCTGTATGTGTAATTTTCTTTGTGATAAGGTTTTAAATTATGAATGAACATTAAAAGACTATTCTGATTTTCTACTGTATTTTGCGTAAGTTTTGGTAAAAGTTGCATTTTCTAAGAGTCCACATATCATGTCCACATTTTCTTATTACTTAGAGATATCCTTTACCTTTGAAAATGCATTTAAAATATGTAATAACGCCACCTTCCTACTTCTGGCAGTGGTTATTTGGGCCTGCTCTCTTAATCACTCATACAGAGAATTGTTGATTTTTCTAGTCGTTTTGGCTTTGACTATTTCTACACTTGTCTTTATTATGTTTCTTTTAAAACCCACTTGCTTTGGGTTTAATTTGCAACTTTTCCTAAACTGCAGTAAATGTTTAGTGAATTGACTTTATCCTTTACATAATACAAATGCATTTAATAATATAAATTGTCTTCCAAATATGGCTTTAATTATTAAGAAGAAATACCTCAAGGCTTGATTGATATCTTCACTATTATTCAGATCAAAATGTTTTCTACCATCTATTGAAATTTCTTGATTATTTAGATGTATTTAACTATTTTTAAATAATTTCAAAGTTAAATTTAAATCTGTAATTTTTAAAATAATATTTCAACCTATAGACCATGTTTTTTAATAGTATCATTTGTCTAAACAATGTCTTTTAAATAACTTTGTTCTGCGCCGGGCGCGGTGGCTCAAGCCTGTAATCCCAGCACTTTGGGAGGTCGAGGCGGGTGGATCACGAGGTCGAGAGATTGAGACCATCCTGGTCAACATGGTGAAACCCCGTCTCTACTAAAAGTGCAAAAAATTAGCTGGGCGTGGTGGCGCGTGCCTGTAATCCCAGCTACTCAGGAGGCTGAGGCAGGAGAATTGCCTGACCCCAGGAGGCGGAGGTTGCGGTGAGCCGAGATCGCGCCATTGCACTCCAGCCTGGGTAACAAGAGCGAAACTCTGTCTCAAAAAAAAAAAAAAAAAAAAAAAAAAAAAAACAACTTTGTTCTTTAATCTAGGATATAATTCCAGGATTGTGCATCAGTACACTTAGTTATCACAAGAATTTCATTTCCAAATATATGGTATCTTTCAATCTTTTCAAATTTAAGACTTCAGCATATGGTCAAACTATTTTATTGTATGCTTGTAAAGAATGTGTATTTTGGGGTACAGTGTTCCATAATGTCCATAAAACACTATGCTATGTTATTCAGTCTTCTTTTTTTTTTTTTTTTTTGAGACGGGGTTTCGCTCTTTGTCACCTATGCTGGACTGCAATGACATGATCTTGGCTCACTGCAACCTCCGCCTCCCAGGTTCAGGCGATTCTCCTACTGCAGCCTCCTGAGTAGCTGGGATTACAGGCGTGAACCACCACGCCCAGCCCTTATTTCTCTATCTTTACTGATTTTTCAGTCTGCTTGTTTTGTTCTTTATTTATTTGTTACAGATAGGCCTTACTCCCACCTCAGTTTCTTGAGTAGCTAGGTAGCTAGCACTTACAGGTGCCTGCCACACTGCTTGGCTTAAATTATTGCATAAAGTGGTAACTCCACTATGCCAATGGTGTTTTCGATTAGTTTGAAGTTCTTTTTTTTTGGAAATTTATAATCTGTATAAATCTACAACGCATATCTTTTAAGATGAAGAGAGCCTTTTCATCCTTACAAAGTGTCCCTCTTTGCCTCAAGTAATGGATTTTGTCTACTATGCAATCTTGCCTTTGGTTAGTATTTACATGGCGTGTCTCTTCCCATTAAATCTTTTATATATTGAGTTTTTAGATATATCTCACAAAAAGAAAATAGTACATTTTTGTCTTTTCCTTCTTATCCAGTCCGAAACCTGTTTTATAATTTGGAACATTTTGTCTGTTTACATTTATGGTCTATTTGTAGATCTACCAACTTACCAAGGCCTCATTACATTCCATCTGTTGTTTATTTCTTTTTCTCACTTTTTGGTTTTTGTTTATACTGATTATTCCACATTCCCACAACTGCCCACACCTTGGTAATTGTATATACTTACTATTCTTTTAGTGACTACTCTAGACATTACAAAAACAAATTTTTACATGTCATCATTTAATATCTATACTTTTCATGCTCTTCCATGCATGGACCTTAGAACATAAATTCCATACCCTTTTAGCACATTTGCTGCTATGTGATATACATATACACACACCACGCCAACAAGATATTATTGTTTCCTAAGTCATCATTTAGATTTACTCATACCTATTATTTTAATTGCTCCGTATTCCTTTCTTTATCTCCTACTTTTCTCCTGCTAAAAGGTACTTCAAGTGAGACTTTACCTGGGATATGCTTTCCCAGTTTATTTTGTCTGAAGTGTTTTTATCTACCTTCATATTTAAAGAATATGCAGGCCAGGTGTGGTAGCTCATGCCTGGAATCCCAGCACTTTGGGAGGCCAAGGTGGGCAGATCACCTGAGTTCAGGAACTCGAGAACAGCCTGGCCAACATGGTGAAATCCCGTCTCTACTAAACATATAGAAATTAGCTAAGCATGGTGGCGCACACCTGTAATCCCAGCTACTCGGGAGGCTGAGGCAGGAGAATGGCTTGAACCTGGAAGGCAGAGAGTACAGTGAGCTGAGACCGCATCATTGCACTCCAGCCTGGGCAACAAGTCAAACTATGTCTCAAAAAATATACATATGCTTACTGGGTACAGAATTTTAGATTTGAAAGGTACTTTATTTTTAATTTTAAAAAAATATTATTTTCTTAATTATCCTGGTAGGCGTTTGTGCAACTTCTTAAATATGGGCTTAATGTCTTTCATCAGCTTCTGAAAGTTCTTAGCCATTATATTCTGTCTTCAGCTATTGCTTCCTTCCCCGTTTCTGTACTTTGCATCCTTCTTGGACTGTAATTACATCCATGTCTCTTCTACTTTTCATCCTCCTGTTTATCATGCTTCTTTAAGGATATTTTCTTAATTTTCTTCTAGCTCATTAATTCTCATTTCATGCTAAGCCAAATCTGTTCTTAGGCCCTTCTACTGAGTTAATTTTAGTTATTGTAATTTTTAGGGTTTTCTGCTTTTCTTTCTTTTTTAAAACACAGGATCTCATTCTGTCACCTGGACTAGAATGCAGTGGTGCTATCACTGCAGCCTTGAACTCCTGGGCTCAAGCAATCCGCCCACCTCAGTCTCCCAAGTAGGTAGGAATACAAGCACATACCACTGTGACTGACTAATTTAATTTTCTGTGGGCATGGGGTCTCACTGGGTTCACAATGTCTAATCTCATAACAAACCTGGTTATTTCTAATTCTGTGAATATTGCTTTTGCAAACTTCATTACTGAATAAGTTAGAGGCCTAGAATGTTTTCTTTGTCTTTCTGGTAAGGATTTACATTTGATTCTACCAGGAAACTTGAGAAACTAGATATGATTTCACTTTAATCCAATTTTAGGTACGGAGTTTTAGTCCCTGTGAGGAAATACTTACTAGCTAATTACCTTTACTGTAATAGTGTACTTTCAGGGTCCCAACTCAAGACAAGCAGCAGCATTCACCATGCATGATCCTTACACTCTAAGCTATGATTTCTCAGCCCTGTGAAGCTAATAAAAGTTCTCCTCTATCTCTAGAAATACCTCAAGGGGAGAAAAAAGGTCCTATCATTCTTTGCCCCCACTCTAACCCAATACTGTCCAATATTGCTTTACTATTTTATTAGCTCTAGCATTTCATATAGACAATTTCTGTATTTTGTCCAAGTTTTCTAGTCATTCTCACTGTTGGTCCAAATTATCTAAGTCTGTCATTATCAGGAGCCTAGACCATCATAAGCAATTATATTTTTATCAATTTGAATCTTACCATATAAATTACCTGTTGCTGACCTGAATGTCTACTGAGATCAGATTTTTTTTTTTTTTTTTTTTGAGACAGAGTTTCACTGTTGTTACCCAGACTGGAGTGCAATGGCACGATCTCGGCTCACTGCAACCTCCGCCTCCTGGGTTCAAGCAATTCTCCTGCCTCAGCCTCCCAAGTAGCTTGGACTACAGATGTGCACCACCACGCCCAGCTAATTTTTGTATTTTTAGTAGAGACGGGGGTTTCACCTTGTTGACCAAGATGGTCTCGATCTCTTGACCTCGTGATCCACCCGCCTCGTCCTCCCAAAGTGCTGGGATTATAGGCGTAAGCCACCGCGCCTGGCCCTGAGATCAGATTTATAAGCAAGCTTTATGCCAGGCACGGTGGCTCACGCCTGTAATCCCAGCACCTTAGGAGGCCAACGCAGGAGGATCACTTGACGTCACGAGTTTAAGACCAGCCTGGGCAACATGGTAAAACCCCGTCTCTACTAAAATACAAAAAATTAGCCAGACATGATGTGGCGGGTGCCTGTAATCCCAGCTACTTGGGAGGCTGAGACAAAGAATCACTTGAACCCTGGAGGCAGAGGTTGCAGTGAGCCGAGATCGTGCCGCTGCACTCCAGCCTGGGTGACAGAGTGAGACTCTGTCTCAAAAAATAAAATAAAATAAAATAAAGATCAGAACATTTGCTGGGCGCGGTGGCTCATGCCTGTAATTTCAGCACTTTGGGAGGCTGAGGAGGGTGGATCACCTGATGTCAGGAGTTCAAGATGGTGAAACCCCATCTCTTAAAAAATAAATAAATAAATAAATAAATAAAATAAGGCCGGGCACGGTGGCTCAAGCCTTTAATCCCAGCACTTTGGGAGGCCGAGGTGGGTGGATCACAAGGTCGAGAGATCGAGACCATCCTGGTCAACATGGTGAAACCCCGTCTCTACTAAAAATACAAAAAATTAGCTGGGCATGGTGGCGCGTGCCTGTAATCCCAGCTACTCAGGAGGCTCAGGCAGGAGAATTGCCTGAACCCAGGAGGCGGAGGTTGCAGTGAGCCGAGATCGCGCCATTGCACTCCAGCCTGGGTAACAAGAGCGAAACTCCGTCTCAAAAAATAAGTAAATAAATAAATAAATAAATTTTACAAAGTAAGCTTTGCTAGGAACTATAATGAACTGGAAAGACTGGAAAGGGCATGTCTCAAATGTTGACATGAAAATATAGGGCTAGAAAATCCAGACATCTAGATATTTAAAAAAATGTAAAATCTCCTCATTTTGCAATGCTGGCAACTAGTTCTGTATATTTTAAAAGTGTGTCGGCCAGTGTCCTCAACTCAGGATGGTTTTTCTCCTTCGGCGGTTGCAAATGTCTGGAGCTATGTTTTAGTTGTCACAACTGGGGAGGGTTAGAGGGTTACTACTGGCATCTAGTTAGTAGAGGTCAAGCATGCTAACCACCATATAATACACAGATCAGTCCCCAGCAATAATTATCTAGCCCAAAATGTCAGTAGTGTCAAAATTGACAAACCCTGTTATAGGCCAGCATACTGCTGGCCAAACAAACCTATTTGCAGACTGCCATTTGACCAGGGTTGGCAGCAGTCTTTTAGTCCTCTAAAGCTATCGGTGCATCTATACACAAATCTATGTAACTGAAGACGCTGGTACCTATGCTCTTTATGTTCTAATAACTGACAGTCTCGACATGTCAGTTTGTCACATGTCTCACAGTACAGCTTCAACTGCTCCTTTTTATGAAAAGGACAAAACACTGGTCGCTGGCTGGTGACACCAACTGCCTCTGCAGAAACAATGGGAGAAAAAGAGAAGAAAACATAATTGAATAGTAAATAATTATTAGATTTCCCATTTGAATTCACATCTATTGATATAAACACTACAGCTTCACCTATACTATACTGTAACTTTTACTAAGAATTACAGATATTAAGATATCACATATTGTATCAGCATTTCAGGAAAAAAAATTAACCTTTTCATTTTTTAATTAGAAATTAAAATTAATTCAGAAGTAAACAAAGGAACTAAGTGTAGTTAAAAATGTGTTTTACTGCATTAAAAAGTCTTAAGAAGACAGCCCTGGTGAGTTATCAACCACCTGGATGTCTTCTATCCCAAATATGAGATGAGAATTTTTGAACATGCAATTAGGAAAATCAAGCTGGGCACAGTGGCTTACGCCTATAGTCTTGGCTAGTCAGGAAGCTGGGTTGAGAGAATCGCTTGCTTTAGTCCAAGCGTTTTTTGAGTCTAGTCTAGGAACACTGCGTGACCTCACAGATAGAGAGGCAGAGGAAAAGATGGAAAGACAGGGAGGAAGAAGGAAAATATAATACAAATGTCTAAAAAGAGTAGTCTAATAAATTATTAACCCACTTTTGTAAAAATCCTAACAGAGGATACCCATCGACACAGAAATAATGTTTTCATTATTACACTCGAGTTTTCTAGTGTGGGGATAAAACTGGAAAATGTTTACATCATAATTTTAAGTGGAAAAATCAGAATATGAATAATATAATAGTAAACCTCAGTTATTTTACTAATAATTAAAGGCAAAATACAAACATTTCAGAAATAATCCTACCTCCAGAGATAATTACTATCAATAACATGGTGTGTACTACTCTGGTTTTTCTAAATATGGAAGTATATATAGTATAGTGCTGCATTTTATAAAACAATTAAATGGTAGTACATATATTGTCGAGATTTTTTTCTCACTTAACTCTACCTTAGATACCTTTCTATATTAGTAAATATATCCACCTCATTCTTATTAACTGTATAGTATTTCATAAAACAGATATACCACTATACCACTTACAAAGGATATTTATAAGTTATTCGTTTTTCAATATTGCAAATAGTGCTGAAATAAACATGGAAATTATAAATCATTTAAATGTTTCCATAAGGTAAATTCCTAGTAGTAGAACTGTTAAGTCAAAGGGTAATTCATATAGAAAAATAATAAATAATTGTGCCAATCTGTACTCCAACCAGTGTAGAGTGGCTATTAATCATATTAACGGGGGGAACTCTCTAAATTTTCATCTTTGACAATTTAATAAATGCAAGATAGTAAAGTATGTATTTTACTATCTAGAATGCATTTCTTTGATCACTGAGATGAATCAACCTTCAGTTATCAGCCATTTGCATTTCTTTTTCATAATGCACAGATCAATCCCCAACAATAAAGAATTATCTAGCTCAAAATGTCAACAGTGCCAAAACTGACAAAACTGATCTATATGCAGACTGCCAGTAGGTTTTGTTTGGCCAGTAGTATGCTGGCCTATACCAGGTGTGGTGGCTCACACCTATAATCCTAGCACTTTGGGAGCCTGAGGCGGGTGGATCACTTGAGGTTAGGAGTTCAAGACCAACCTGGCCAACATGGTGAAACCCATCTCTACTAAAAATACAAAAATTAGCCAGGCATGGTGGCACAGGCATGTAATCCCAGACACACAGGAGGCTAAAGCAGGAGAGTCGCTTGAACACGGAAGGTAGAAGTTACAGTGAGCCGAGACTGCACTACTGCACTCCAGCCTGGGTCACGAAGTGAGAGTCTGTCTCTCTCTCTCACTCACACACACACACACGCACACGCACACACGCACACACGCACACATGCACACACGCACACCCACACCCTAAGGTAACCTGAGAGGAATTACAGATAAAATTAATAAACTAAAAAATATAAAACAGACAAATTCAAGAGCTACTTCTGAAGACAAAAATATGTAAACATGTAGAATTCAGAATGAAAATGAAAATAATCAGAGAAAACTGGCAATATATTATAAGAATATTCAAAGCACAACACATCAAGATGAAATATAGAATTAACTCCAGCAATGCAAAGATGGTTCAATCTTTTTTTCTTTTGTTTTTTCTTTTTTTTTTTTTTTTGAGACAGGGTCTCACACTGTCACCCAGGTGGAGGGCAATGACAATGATCACAGCTCACTGCAACCTCAAGCTCCCTGGTTCAAGCAATCCTCCTACTATCTCACCTCCCAGGTTGTTGAGATTACAAGCATGTACTACCATGCCCAGTGAATTTTCTGATTTTTTGTAGGTAAGGTTTCACCATGTTGCCAAGGCTGGTCTAGAACTCCTGGGCTGAAGCAATCAATCCTGCTTTAGCTTCCCAAAGTGCTGGGATTATACCAAATCTTTCACTAGTCTCAAAGAAGCAAACAAAAAAAGAAGTTTTGCTACATTTTGATACATGCTATTACATGAGTGAATTCTTAAAATATTATGCTAAGTAAAATAAGTTAGGTATCAAAGGACATCATACCATATGATTCCACTTATGTGAAATACCTAGAATAAGCAAATTTATAGAGACAGAAAATAAAGGTTAGGTGCAGTGACATATGCTTATAATCCCAGCACTTTAGAAGGCCAAGCCTGGCAGATCACTTGAAGTCAGGAGTTTGAGATCAGCCTGGCCAACACAGTAAAACATCGTGTCTACTAAAAATACAAAACTTAGCCAGATGTGGTGGTGCATGCCTGTAATCCCAGCTACAGGCAGGAGAATTGCATAAACTTATGTGGCAGAGGATGTAGTGACTGAGATTATGCCACTACACTGCAGCCAGCCTAGGTGACAGAGAAAGACTCCATTTAAAAAAAAAAAGAAGATAGGGTAGAAGTTACCAGGAGCTAGGGGAAGAAAATTGGAGTTATTAAAGGGCACAAAAAGGAGATGCTGACTGGGGTGACGAAAAGGTTTTGAAAGTAGTAACGATGGTTGCACAATGTGTAAATGTAATAAATGCCGCTGAATTGTAGACTTAAAAAGTTAAAATGACAAATTTTATGTTGCATGTATTTTACCAAACTAAAGAAATGTATTAGTGAACTGCATTAAAAACAGGACAATAAAACCAAGAATAATAATTACATTAAAAAGCCTCTCTGGCTATCCATATATCAGACAAATTTCAAAAAGGTTTACTAGAGGAATGTCAAAAGGAAAAAGAGTTATAAAATATTTGAGCCCACTCCTTGTTGTTACCTTAGAGATAAAAGAAAAATAAGAAAAAGCCAATTTTTTCTCCATTTGTTCTATATTCACACCAAATGAAGACATTTATAGAAGCAGAAAGACAGGCAGTATGAATGTAAAACAGGGTTCTACATCTATTCACACTTTCCAACATTTGTAAGCACTTAAATTTCAATTATAATATAAACTTCTTTTAATTAAGACTACATTTAATACTTAACAAAATGAATGTGTCAAAACAAGTCAATACAGGAAGGAAGACAAGACAGGGGAAAGACAGAAGAAAAAAAAAGAACTCATTTATTACCTGGAGATACTTCCTCTTTCTGTCTGACAGTGTGGTCTTTTGTGAACTTGACCCTCTGATGAGCTCTGATACATGTCTTGCAGAGCCATTCAACACACTCTACACAAAAGCCATTAGCTTCTGCGTTGTCCTCACAGCTTGTGCACACCTGACAAGAAAAGAACCACGGCACGTGAATTTCTGACATAATGAAAAGCTGGTTCTATCACCAGCTTTACACACATGATACACCAACTATACTGGGCTAAATCAGTTGTCTTCCTAACAGTGTTTGGAAATTTTAAACTGACATTGTGTGTTACATTACACACATAAGAAATTTAAATACCGTGAAGAGATAAGAATGTAAGTACATTTTCTCCTTAATTCAGTATCCCAAATATTTTAGCTAGGTGTTTATTTCCCAAACATTATGCTAGGTGTGAGAATAAACAGTCAGGAAAAGCAAAGATGGTCCAGGCCTTTATGATACCTACAGTCTTGTAGATAGTGCAGGTTCAAATCACAGTTCCCTCACTTACTAGAGCTCAGTGGTCTTGGGCAGGTTACATAGAGTACTCATCTTTAGCATGAGGATATTACTGAGTAGTAGTTGTGATTATTATTACTACTTTAATAGTACAGACATTACTGAGTAGTTGTGAAGATTAAATGTGAGGCACATGCACATTATTAGAATAAGCATATCAATATATAACTGCAAACTGATCAATATATAACTACAAACTGAGAAGCACTATAAAGGAAATATATGGAAAGTAATATGAGCATATAATGAAGAATGAATCTCATTTTAGTGCAGTTGGAAGGCTGGGGAAAGCATGAGGAGAGATTACCCAGTGAAGGCTCTTACTTCTAGGAAGAGACAATAGCATGTACAAAAGTCCCAGGCAAGAAGAGCAAGAAGGTTCAAAGAACTGAAAGAAGGCAAGTGTGACTGAAGTAGTGCAATCGAGGGGAAGACTGGCAAGAAAAGCTAGGACAAGACAGACAGGGGCCAAATCAAGCAGTCACAAGGCAATTTTGGTCTTTGTCCAGAGAAATCTATTAAAAGCATTTAAGAAAATGACATGGCCAGATTTCCATTTTTATGTCACAATGGCTGCAACGTGGAGAACAAATTAGAAAAGGAGCAAGTGTTCTCTGTATAATGACAAGCTAGGAGGATTTTTCAGTGGCTTTGGTGAGGGTTGCTGGAAGTGGTATGTATATGGAGATGAGAACAGGCTTGACAGTAAACTTCTACTTCAGTGGTTGCCACAAGCCGAATTCCACATACCTGATTATGTTCATAAACCAAAGTCTACCTTTTCTCTGCACTTATCATCTTGAATCTTTCTAACATCACTTGATACCACTGACTCCTGCTTCCTGGAAGCCATGTGAATTCCTTACTACCTGCCAATCCTCCTATCTCCCTGATTTTCCCTGTGGATCCTACCCTTCACCCTCTGATTCTGTAGTCTGTGTTAGATTATAGGAACGAATCTCATCTACTTCCTTAGCCTCACATCACATCTCTAAAAGGTTGTAATCTAAGGCCGGGCACGGTGGCTCACGTCTGTAATGCCAGCACTTTGGAAGGTCGAGGCGGGTGGATTACGAGGTCAAGAGATTGAGACCAACCTGGTCAACATGGTGAAACCCCGTCTCTACTAAAAATACAAAAAATCAGCTGGGCATGGTGCCGCGTGCCTGTAATCCCAGCTACTCAGGAGGCTGAGGCAGGAGAATTGCCTGAACCCAGGAGGCGGAGGTTGCAGTGAGCCGAGATTGCGCCATTGCACGCCAGCCTGGGTAACAAGAGTGAAACTCCGTCTCAAAAAAAAAAAAAAAAAAAAAAAAAAAAAAGGATGCAATCTAAAATTTAATCTCCATCATAAGCTATAAAAAGAAATAAGTACTTTCTATTTACACCACTTAGGAGAGATTGCTAGTACAAAGTAAAATAAAACAGGAAGTGTGTGTGTGTGTGAGATGCTACTGCTTATTCAAGAAAGATGGTGATATGGTTTGGATCTGTGTGCCTGCACAAATTGCTGAATTGTAATCCCCAATGCTGGAGGTAGAGCCTGCCGGGAGATGGGTGGATCATGGGGGTGGATTTCCTCCTGGTGCTGCTCTTTTGATAGTGAATTCTCTTGAGACCTGGTTAAATGTGTAGTTGCCTCCCCCCTCTTTTGCTCTTGCTCCTGCCATGTGGATGAGCCTGCTTCCTCTTTACCTACTGCCATGATTGTAAGCTGAGCAGATGCCAGTATCATGTTTCCCGTAGAGCCTGCAGAACCATGAACCAATTAAACCTTTTTTTTTTTTTTTTTTTTTTTGAGATGGAGTCTCACTCTGTTGCCCAAACTGGAGTGCAGTGTGTGATCACAGCACCCCACAACCTCTGTCTCCCGGGTTCAAGTGATTTTCCTGCCTCAGCCTCCTGAGTAGGTGGGATTACAGGCACCCGCCATAATGCCTGGCTAATTTTTTTATTTTTAGTAGAGATGAAGTTTCTCCATGTTGGTCAAGCTGATCTCAAACTCCTGACATCATGATCCAACCACCTTGGTCTCCTAAAGTGCTGGGATTACAAGTGTGAGCCACTGCACCCAGCACCTCTTTTCTTTATAAGTTACCCAGTCTCAGATATTTCTTCATAGCAATCTGAGACTGGACTAATACAGAACATTGGTACCAAGGAGTTGGGTACAGCTATAAAGATACCTAAAAGGCTGGCCACAGTGGCTCATCCCTGTAATCCCAGCACTTTGGGAGGCCAAGGCAGGCGGATCATGAGGTCAGGAGTTCAAGACCAGCCTGACCAACATGGTGAAACCCTGTCTCTACTAAAAATACAAAAATTAGTCGGGCATAGTGATGCGTGCCTATAATCCCAACTACTCTGAAAGCTGAGGCAGGAGAATAGCTTGAACCTGGGAGGTGGAAGCTGCAGTGAGCTGAGACTGTGCCATTGCACTCCAGTCTGGGTGACAGAGCGAGGCTCCATCTCCAAAAAAAACAAAACAAAACAAAAAAAAACCAAAAAAACCAGATACCTGAAAATGTGGAAGCAGCTCTGGAACTGGGTAATGGGCAGAATTTTAAATGGTTTGGAGGGCACAGAAGAAGGCAGGAAGGTGAGGGAAATTTTGGAACTTCCTAGAGATTTGGCAAATTGTTGTGACCAAAATACTTACAGTAATATGGACAATGAAGTCTAGGTTGAGGAGTCTCAGATGGAAATAAACTTATTGGGAAATGGAGCAAAGGTCACTTTTGTTTTACCTTGGCAAAGAGCTTGGCTGGACTGTGCCCCTGCTCTAGGGATCTGTGGAAGTCTGAATTTGACAGATGATTTATATCTGGTGGATGAAATTTCTAAGCAGCAAAGTGTTCAAGATGTGATCTAGCTGCTTCTAACAACCTATGCTCACATGCATGAGCAAAGAAATGACCTAAAGTTGCAACTTAAATATTTCAAAGGGAAGCAGAGCATAAAAGTTTGGAAAATTTGCAGCCTGGTCATGTAATAGAAAAGAAAAGCCCATCTTTAGGGGAGGAATTCAAGCAGGCTGCAGAAATTGGGGATAGGGGAAGGACTTGAAGGCATTTCAGAGACATTCTGAGCAGCCACTCCTGTGACAGGCCCAGAGGACGAAGAGGATTGAATGGTTTTATGGGCCAGGCCAGTCCAGGCTCAGAACACTGCCCGCTGTGTCCCAGCCTCTCTAGCTCCAGCCATGGCTCAAAGACGGCCAGATACAGCTCACACTGCCGCTTCACAGGGTGCAAGGCATTAAGTCTTGGCAGCTTCCACGTGCGGTTAAGCCTGCAGGTACACAGAACGCAACAGTTGACACTTGGGAACCTCTGCCTAGATTTCAGAGGATTTATAGGAAAGCCTGCATGGATGTCCAAGCAGAAGCCTGCTGCAGGGGCAGAGACTTTGCGGAGAACATCTACTTGGGCAACGAAGAGGAGATAGGTGGGGCGGGAGTACCCACACAGAGTCCCCACTGGGGCCCTCCCAAATGGAGCTGGGAGGAAAGTGCCACTGTCCTCCAAACCCCAGAATGGTAGATCCACCAGCAGCTTGCACTTTCAGCCTGGAAACGTCACAGGCACCCAAGAGAGTAGCTCATGAGAGCAGCTACGGGAGCTGAACCTGCAAAGCCACAGGAGTAGGTACAGCTGCCCAAGGCTCTGGGAGGCCACCCCTTGTACCAGTGGGTCCTGGATGAGAAATGTGAAATTAAAGGAGATTATTTTGGAGCCTTAAGGTTTAATGACTGCTGCTGGGTTTTGGACTTGAGCAAGGCCCACAGCCCCTTTCTTTTGGCCAATTTCTCCATTTTGGAATGGGAGTATTTACCCAATGCCTGTACCCACATTGTATCTTGAAAGTAACTAACACGATTTTGACTTTACAGGGTCATAGGCAGAAGGGACTTGCCTTGTCCTTCTAATCTCAAATGTGAGACTTTGGACTTTCAAGTTAATGCTAAAATGGTTAAGACTCTGAGGAACTTTTGGAAAGGCATGATTGTGTTTTGAAAGGTGAGAAGGACATTAGATTTGGGAGGAACCGGGGTGGAACAATATGGTTTGGATCTGTGTCCCTGACCAAATTTCATGTAGAACTGCAATCCCCAATGTTGGAGGCAGGACCTGATGGGAGGTGACTGGATCATGTGGGTGGATTTCCCCCTTGGTGCTGTTCTCATGATGAGTTAACATGAGATGTGTTCATTTAAAACTATGTGGCACAGCCGGATGCAGTGGCCCATGCCTATAATCCCAGCACTTTGGGAGACCGAGGTGGGTGGATCACCTGAGGTCAGGAGCTCGAGACCAGCCTGGCTAACACGGTAAAACCCTGTTTCTACTAAAAATACAAAAAAAAATTAGCCAGATTTGGTGGTGCAGGCTTGTAATCCCAGCTACTCAGGAGGCTAAGGTAGGAGAATTGCTTGAACCTGGGAGGTGGAGGTTGCAGTGACCTGAGATTGCGCCATTGCACTCCAGCTTTGACAACAAGAACAAAACTCCATCTAAAAAAAAAAAAAAAAGAAAGAAAGAAAAGAAAAAGAAAAAAGTGTGTGGCACCTCCAACCCTCTCTTTTTGCTCCTGCTCTGGCCACATGTGACATGAACCTG